TATACAAATGTCATTATATTAGTATTATAAGTATTTTTTTTATTTTCTCTTTGTTTGTAATAGGATTTGATATAATAATTAATATTCAAATATCAACACGAAAAAAGTAAATGGATACCTTGTTAGGGGACGGAGGGAGTATATAAAATAACAAATAAACTTGCTCGAATGGTTCGAATTAAAATCATCAGTTTTAATATTTTGAAATGTCAAATCAAAATTAAACCTTCCATAATTTTAATTTATATTTTTTTATTTCGATTTCAGTTCCGTCTGTTCAAAAACCACCGATTATATTTGACAATTTTAGTTTATGTTTATTCATTTTTAATTATTTTATTTTTAATTTTAATTAATAAAAATTGTAATTTTAATGTAATTTTATTTACAAATATATATTTTTTTAATAAAAATTCATATAAATAATAATAATAATTAAATAGATTGTTATAAAATAAAAATTAATTACGTTGAATATATAATATACTAAATCTAATCAAAATAATACTATAACAAAAAATATAAATTTTAAAATATTATTATTATTAAAATAAAATAAAAATGAGAATAATAATAAATATTTTTTTAGAACTAATATATTTTTAATATTTTTGTTAAATATTTAAAAAAATTTGTATACATACAAGTGTATTGCATATATTTGAAATTATATAAATCAATAAAAAATATTTAATTTACAAATTTATAAAGTATAATAAAATCTAGGGAAATCAATAAATAATTCAATCAAATTTATCAAAATTCATATAAATCAATAAACAACATCAATTAAACAATGCATAGATTCTATAAAATTTATAAATCCAGGACTTTTCAATTCAAACAAATCCATTAAAATGTTAATTGAATACACCCCTTAATTTATAATTGTTTTTAGACCACAGATCATATGCTGATTTAGAAATCTAAATCGTCATGTGCAGACTTAATCGCAGACGTTGATTAATTAATGACAATTAAGTAAATTAAGATATATTTTAAGAATTAACGGTAGTGATTAAATATCAGCATGCTGAATTAATGTTTTTCAGCACACAATCTACTATGTTGTTTTTACTATACAATAATTATTTTTACTAATACACTTTTAATTAGTTATTACTCATATTTTACCTAAATTTTCTCATATACAATAACACATCAAATTATATGGGACAGCGGGAGTATTTGTTGAAATCTTATAATTTTTTTTTAATAAATATCTTATTTAGTTATTATTTAAATTAATTAAAGAATACATAGAACAAAAATGCGACGAATCGCGTAACGCATATTTTGTAATTTTCTTTTGTTTTTGAATACCATCATGACGGTGGACAATTAATATGCGTGGCATTGTCACGTCACAGTAGTGGTTCGTTTTGACGTATCGATCCCAACATTGCAACCGCTCTCCAAAATTTATATGAAAAGCAAGGTTGTGCCTTATTGTACTTTATTTTTTTGTTTGTTCTTATATACATATACTAGGGGTAAGACTAGTGCTATAACTATGCCCGATACAATTAACAAAAATTTGTTAGTTATTTCAAAATACATTATTATAGAAATTTTTATTAATTTTATGTTTATTTTTAAATATTTTAATAAGTTTAAGAATAATAATTTTTTAATAAAAAAATATTACCTTCGTCCCACAGTGGATGACTTGGTCACTGTGGACACTGGAATTTAAGATAAATATAATTAGTAGATAATTAAGAATATATTAGTAAAAGTAATTAATTTATAATATAAATTATTATAAATTATGATTAAGATAACTAATTAGTTTAATTAAAATTAAAAAAAAATTAAATTAGAAAATTTTAAAAAAAAATTAAAATGGATAATCATTTTCCAAAAAATGAAAGTGACATGAGACGTGGACAGACAGAAACTATGGACATGGGATGGAGGGAGTAATAATTAAATAAATAACAATTAATTTTAAAAAAAAAAACTATTATCATTTAAAATAAATTAAAATAATAATTTACAAACTTCAAATGAATATTTAATAATATAAATTATGATTTATTTTTAATATTTGGAATAAAATATGTAATATAACTAAAATAATATAATGTTAAATAACAATTTAGTTTATTTTGAACAACATTAATTAAAAAAATATATAAAAGTTATATATATATTTTGGATGTGTTTAGAACTTGATTGATTATAATAAATAGCAAGTTATTTATTTATATATAAAATGAGCTATACTTTCATTTCTAAATCAAAAATATTGTTTATGTAACATGAGTTTGTTTGATTTTTGTATGGATGGTAAATACTAATATTTTTTACATAAAAACAAAATACAATACATATCTATAAATTAAATATCCATAAAAAAAACAATTAAAAAAACTCAATTTTTTCTATAATAAAATATAATACGAAAATAAAACTATTATTTATGAGAAAAAAATTAAATACATAATGAAAAAGAATAACCATAAATAATTTTTTTTATATACTTTGATAAAAAAAAGTGTAATTCAGCGATGAAAAAATAAAAATAAAATATAACTGAATATAAATTATAATCAATTATAAATAAGAATTTAAATTAAACTTAAATGTTTCTATGCATAATTTTAAAAAAAAAAATTAAATATAATTTTTATTTATTAAAGTAATTCATAAATAAATAAATAAAATTTTAGTAACAAAATTTCATATTTATAGGTATAAATATTGCAAGTTATCCTATTATAATTTAAATTTAAAATAAAAATAATTGTATATCATAAAAATAGTTAATTATAAAACTAATACCTGAAAATAATAATAAAATATAACTTTATTGATAAAAAGTGAAAAATCGTAAAAAAAAAAATTTAATCCAAAATAATAAATATAACAAAACTATAAAGTGAAAAATCATCAAAAAAAAAAAATCTAAATCCAAAGATATAAATAAAAATATATTAAAGTAATTTATAAATAAATAAAATAAATTTTAGTATATCTTATTATAATTTAAATCCAAAACAATTAAATATAGAAAACTATAAAAATGTTCTGTATAATAAAATAGTAACTTTATTAATAAAGAATGAAAATGGTAAAAATAAAATTTAAAAAAAAAATAGAGAAAAAGTAAAGGAATGAGATAAATTTTTCCTACCAAATTGGATAATTTATCCATGAAAATTTATTAAAAAACTTAAATTCATTCAAAAACTTGTAAAACGGACTGCTGCTCCGGCGGCAATCCTTTCCGGTAGAAATATTTTGCTTCCACCAAAAAAACACGGCTAAAAAACTTTCGGTTGTTTCTGCCATAATAAAAAAAAAAAAAATGTAAAAAAGACTATACTAAAATTGAAAAAAACTTTATTCAATAATTTACTTGAAGAAATCTTGGCAATCTTCTCTAATAGAAATATTTGCTTCTATAATAGAGTTTCAGATATGGCTTTCCAACAAAACTACTATGTAAAAAATCTATATCTCCACTATTATATAAAATAAACTATTTCTTTATATAAAACTATATCTCCATATTATATAAAAAATGGCAAAACAGCAAAAAATCTCCATGTGGTTTACCGAATCTGCTAAAAACTTCCCTGTAGTCCTAAAACTCCAAAAAACCTACTCGTGGTTTGTAAAACGTTGCACGAAACACCCTATCCGTTAGGACTTTGGTAGCCTCGGTGCTTTTAATAAAAATACTCTAACACCACAATTTCCGCGTAGCAATTGGTGCCGAGGTCGATCCACAGGGACTACAACGTTTAATTTATGTTTTGTCACAATTTCAAATATTGGGGGATAGATTAGCAATTCACTAAGATAATTACGATAAGCGATAAAATCTAGATTTCAAAAAGATTAAACTTCTAGCCCAATGAGTGAACAAGAAAGCGGATTAAAGATTCGATCATTGATTTTAAATAATCTCGTTATTCAATTGATAAATTGGTTATAGGCATTAGATACGATCATAACACCCAATTTTTTCTTACTTTATTGGCGGCAATGGTACGACCGATTAACCACACCCCTAATCAAAGAAATATCTAGGTACGACCATAAATTAATTTCCTCAATTGAAAATAGCCCGAGAAATACCCAATTCAAATATTCAATCAATTACGAAAAGATTAAATTAGTTAATCATGCAATTCCTAGACTAAGCTTGTCAACCTATTTACCACTTTATCAAACAAGTGCACAATTCGGATTCAAATGTTCAATTGGCACACAATTGTTAAACCAATCTAAAATCCGGCCGCAATAAAAGATTAAATAAAACAATTGTAGTTATGAATCACAGAAATTGCACAAATATCAATTTCATAAACAAGATGCAATTTAAATCAAAACATAATCTCACAAATCTAAATCCGAAATCTAAATTCAACCTTGGACTAGAATAAATAAAACTAGCTATTCATGCTCAAAATAAAAGAAAACAATAAGATAAAGATAATGATGATCTCCCGATGACGCTTCCTCTCAAATGCCTCGCCCAATCCTTCAAACTATGAAATGTGAGTGTAAATTGTGATATCTCATCCCATGCCTTGACCCCCTTTTTATAGATGATCGGTTCTTCAATACGCTTTTAATCACTCAATCTCAATCACCATTCCTACTATTACGTCTCAATCCTCGTAATCCATCACTTTCCTTGACATGCAAGTTTAGATCAAGCCTTTCCAAAATTCTTTGATCGAAAACATGGCATGGGTGTGATTTACTCCATTCATTTGCATCAATCAATAACATGATAAAATGAGTAGAAATCTATCCATAATATTAATTATATTTTATAATTTATCTATATAAATATAGGACAATATATGCATTATCAGACTTAACGGCAAGTGTTTGTCACGCGCCAAAAATGCGATGTTTGCTCCAGAAAATCATATATATGAGAGTGAAGTTACAAATATACCCCCTGGTTTCATTAACTTAAGTACGTCATTCTCTTATTCACCTTTCTCTCATTCGCGTTGTTTCTTCTTCCTCCACAGATTGCTCGTCGTTTTCCATCACCTACCGCAGCGGCCTCCATTCTTCCGGCGCCGTCGGTTTGTTTCAAGAAACTTCAGGTCTGCCCGTATGTAAAAGTAGTTGAATTTAGGTGTATTTTTGGTGTTTTTTAGGTGCGCCAGCAGTTCCATTTTTGGGTGTTTTTTGCTCGCAGTACGATTTTGCCCGTCACTTTTAGATTGTGCTATAGCAATGCGTTTTTTGTCAGGAGACTGCAATTTTGGTGAGAATGTTTATCGAATACAAGTTCTGTGTTATCGTTGTCGGGTTTGGGTCTCTTGATTTTTTGCAGAAAACGGGTGTCTGCTCGGGGAAATGGATTCTGGTAATTTGTTTCTATTTTAATATTTGGTGTTACTAGCAATTCTGAATCGTTATTTTGGTTGGAATTATTTGAAACCCTACAATTTGTTAAACCCTAACTTCTTACATTGCTCTGTTTGGCTTGAAGTGAATTTTTGTTTTTTTTTATCTAGGGCCGAAATCGTAATTCTATAATTTATAATTTTTCTAGTAATTTGCAACGATGGGGAGTGAGTCCGTATGGCTCATATATGAATTTACTTGCAAGCATAAAATCTTCTATCTTTGAGAGTTTTCAATCATTTTCCAGTGATGTCATTTAGCAGCTCAAAATCAAAGTCCAGGGGCCGGGGAGATCTTGACCTAAGGTATCGATGCCCACGATGCAAGTGTGAGACTTTTGCGGCAATCCGTGTCATCGGTCCAACAAAGGAAACTCAAGAAAAATTATTTTGCAATTGCCGAGTTGGAGCCTGTGATTTTTTCCGTTGATTTGATCCTGTGAGCACTCGTGTTGGAGAGTGGAGCAATGATGAGGATGATGTGAATGACTCAGAGGTTCAATCTGTTGCATTTGAGGGGGAGCTACTCAAAGAAACAAAGGGGGTTGCAGATGAAATGTCTAAACTGAAGGTGGTTGTAGAAGAACTACGTTCTGAAATAAGAGTCTTCCGAACAAGACTGACGTATGTGAAGCTTCTCATGGTTGTTGTTACGGTGATTACCATATCGAAGTCTTTTTTTAAGAAGTTGGTATGTCTTCGACTCATCGTGGTATTGGTTCGTCTATTGTCGTAGTAGCAGGGTAGATTTCAGTGTAGCTGTAGGTGGGTGTAATGTACCGGCGTCGTAGTAACAGCAGGGGTGATAAAATTGTGGCAGTAGCTGTAATGTGTCTTCCTGATTTGTAATACAATGCACCGTAATGGTCCGTGTAGATAGCATACCGTGTCGTTCTTTATTTTTCCATGTCGCAATGTGTGTGCCAATCACTTAGCCATAACAAAACTCCATAATATTAATTCCCTAACAAACACTTCAACATACATGGCATAGTATTAATTCCCTAAAAAACATTGCAATTTTACAATACTTCCAATAACTTAGGCACAAAACAAAATATCCAAACGGTAATATACATAAAATACAACAGCAAATATAGCAGCAATCCACATAATATCCCCGATCCGATTCACAAAATGCCGACAATAGCAATCCACATAATATCCCCGATCCAATTCACAAACTACTCCGGGTACCCATGCATACATAAAAAATAGACATTGATAGAATCTCACTAACGTCACCGGGAAGATGCACCACCTGAAGGCCCCCGATGCCCTGGCCTGAGTGAAAATCGAACACTTCGGAGCAGCGATGACAATAATGCACGTCGACTCCCCCCGCTTTCGTCTGTCATTCCCAATGGACCCGGCGATTGCACTTGAGACGACTGCGTTGCTGGCGCGCAGTCCGATGACAGATGTACATTAGAGGCAACCTACCATGTCATCCAAGTAGCAGCGAAATCAATTTTTTTTTGGCAGATAAATGTATCCCAGGAACAGCTGAGTAGCCTAAGAATTGAGATGGGTACGTGTTCGGATTTGGAGCAGTGTCCGTCCGGCCGATTGATGGGATCTTTCGTTGACGTATTCTATCCATTTAAATAGCAGCATTAGCTAGAAATAAGTATTAAACACATTTTAGCAGTGAAAATAAACTGAAGTGGCTACTTACCTGTGGTTCGGGTTGGGAACAATGATCTCTCGCCCGATTCATGGGAGCTGTCGGTGTGTTCTACAAGAACACAGTTTAGGGTAAGAACCAATACAAGATAAACAGAAAAATAAAGAGCACTTCATAAGTTCAAGAACCACCTTAGGGAGCGGCGGATCATTTTTGCAACTCCGTTTGTTGTGCCCTTGTTGATGGCATTTGCAACAAGTAGTCGTCAATCCATGTCGAGATGCTTTACCGTCCTGCCGCTCATCATTACCGTCGCGCCGACGAGCTTTTTTTGGACGCCCAGTGCGAACCTTCACGACCGGAGGCGCCACCTCCCCAAGCATGGATTTTTCATACTCATGTATTCCAGGAACGGGGTTTATCGCATGGGTATATACTGCCACGTACGTTTCTTTTTTTAAGCAGACATCTATGAAATTTTCCACCGCAAGTCGCTGGTACTCGATCGCGGGCACTCCATGGCAGCAAGGATATCCGCTAATTTGGAACATGTCGTAGGTGCACATATGCTGGTTCAACTCGACAACATGGTTCTGCGTGAAGTGCATAACTTCGTACTTGTCATCACCGCCCTATGATGGAAAACAGTTGCGGCTAGCCTTTCGCACCAGCTCTACCTTTTTCATGACGTTAGGGCACACAATTCCCTCAAATTTTTCAATCCCCGCCTTTTTCGTTTGAATTCGAACCATCAACCTTCGTCGTATCCACTCGAACATATCAATTATAGGTAGGTCCCATGCCTCCAAAATGTACCGATTAAAGGACTCACACATGTTGTTCACGAGTACGTCGCTCTTTGTTTGTACCCGAAAAAAGGCCCGTGCCCAGTGCTGTTGTAGGATCTCACTTAATCATGCGTACACAGCTTCCCCGGTCCCGGTTGCTGCATCGTACCTCCTAATATGTCGCATCACTTTCTCATGCTCCTTCAGATTAAATGTGGACGCTGCCTTCCAGAAAAGACGCTTCAATTCCAATCCCTTAAACCGCACTTTGAAGTTGTTGTACATATGACGCAAACATAAACGATGTTCTGCTCCTGGCGCTCGTTCTGCAATTGCCTCTACCAATCCTTTCTGACGATCGGATATAAAAGACCATTCCCCGGTTCTAGAATCATCCAAATCCCTCAGCAAACTCTCCAAGAACCAATCTTACGTCTCATACTTTTCAATCTTGACAAATGCAAAGGCGATGGGGTAGATATTTTCGTTGGGATCTCTCCCTACTGCCGTCAGAAGATGCCCTTTATAAATCCCCTTAAGGAAGCATCCGTCAAGCCCTATGATAGTGCGAAAGCCTGCTTTAAATCCCTCCCTCAAAGCTACCAAACAATAGTACATTCATTTGAGCACCGGCGGACTAACCCCCCGATCAACGGACAAAATATAGCTGCTGCTCGGATTGAATTTGCACACTGTCGCGCAATAATCGTAAAGGCGTTTGTATTGTTCTAATGTGCTACCCTTGATCAATTCCAAAGCATGTCGCTTCGCCCGGTAAACTTTGTACATAGTCACCTCAACACGCACCTCCATTCTTCTTCAATGCAGGTATAGATATGTTCGGATTATCTGCCACCATATCTTTTATCCTCCTTCCAAGGTACTTATAGTTTTCTTGCGCATTGGTCGACTAGTGTGAACACTGATGGGTACCCTTCAGGGTTTTGATCTTGAAGGTGTCTCCACCCATGATGGATGACGCGTGAATCCTCCAATCACAACCCTTCTTGCATACGCCTGTAACCTTCTTTTTTTCATTCTTTACGAGGTTTATATCCCACCCCCTCCGTACAGCCCAGTCACGGAGGGCTTGCCTATATTTCAATCGGTTCATAAATTTCATACCGACTTTCAATTCACAATCAGATTCCTCCATTTCATCATCTCATTCCTCGTACGCCGGCCCCCCGGTGTCGATAGAATCTGCCAGACTACGAAGTACCCCGTCCTCCTCGCTCAATTCATCACTAATCCACCCATCTGTGGTCGGGTTAACCCCCGTCCCGTGATCCGATTCTCCAGTCGCCTCAGTTTCATCCGCCAAGTGAGGTTCATCCATTGGTACATCACCCCCACCAGGTTCTGCTGCTCCCTTATCCGTTAGGGAAGTGTCCGAGTGAATTTCGCCTTCCGCATCCTCGCTTTTCCACTCACTGCTATCAAAGATTTGATCCTCACCATCAGAACTTTCTTCATGGGTTTTATCTCGTTGACTCTCCCGATAAATCCGCAACTCCTCCCAATATTCGTCGGCATCTATATTGTCATCGTCATCGTCTTCATCATCGTCATTGTCATTGTCTTCATCATCGTCATCGTCACGATCACGGTCATCATCATTGTCATCGTCATCATCACCATCACCATCATCGTCATCAGTATTGTCATCGTCATCGTCATCGTCATCGTCATCGCTCGCATCTACACAATGAAACATAACATAAGCAATGTATTCATGTCAAATCCATATGTGAAAAGAAAACATCTAGGAGGTTTACATGCCCCTTCTTCAGCATGCGATTGAGCCTCATACCAACCACAACTGTCCATTCCCTCCGTGTAATCGGTCCACACGGGTTCGTCAACACCCATGTACTCGAAATTCCCTTGCGAGTCATCGTCTTCATCGTTGTCCTCGTCGTCCCCCTCGCTTTCCTCTTCCGAGTCTAGAGTTGCAATGTCTTTCCCTTTTCGAAATCTTTCTTCATCTTGCGGATCAAATCCACATGTTAACTTCTCAAATCTGTAGCTTTGAAAACCTTTATTCTTGTATCCGCACACACCATCCGTTACTCTTTCCTCATGCACGTTTTCACCTCATGAGCGTCATCACCCCCATCGTCCTCGACACCCTTATCGTCCTAAAAAACATAATTCCTCGGAGTGCTACTTTCCTCCTTTCCACGACGCCATTCAAGCAACAAACCTTCATTAGGCCTCCGTATGTCATGTCCGTAGGCATATGCGCATCGGCAAAGCTTTATCCTCGGCATATATAGAAATTATATTTTTCTCGTAGTAAATTTTAAACATATTCATAACATCTTCATCGCTCTTAATAGGATACACTGGACCCTTGAGATTTGCACCGTGGGGACTATCGGGGCTCCGATGTATGAACTCCACAACACCTGCCTTACCTCCTGCACGATAGTACATGTTGAAGATCTTACCAAAATAGAACCTATCCTTATCGATACGGGGGAAACAAACACATCTGCCACCCCTGTATCACTTCGCGGGGCCCTCATACTCGGTATACCCATCAACCCACATATAAATTGTCACAAACTGGTCCATTATGCCGGTGACCACAACAACCTCAAGAACGTGCAATCTGCAGGATAACACACTGAATCTTACAACCAACAAAATCTAACTTTCTACGAAATTACTAAATTTATTCCAGAGATACGACAAAATACACAGCAAAAGAGGAAATAAAGTAACTTGACCACAAAATTTTTAATAATATACACATCTCTGTGTCCGACGTAAAGTTCACTTTCAACCCAAAATAAAATTAGAAAATTAATTTTTGAAATACACGAACGTTCCCACTCATGAGCCGAGAGGAGAGATTTGAGAAATTTTACCAAATTAAAAAGTCGCAAGTAAACCCTAGAAAACTTGGGGGTGAGGCAGACGGGGGATGGCGACTGTGGTGTCGGAGGGGAAGGGTAACGACAGTGTATGAAAGGATGAGCGAAAGGCAACGTGAAACGGGGGGTGGAGGCGGCGCAACGACGGCGTCCCTCTGCTGGTGGGTTTCTTGATCGCGCGACAAGCGACGGTGAGAGAACAAACGATTTTGGGGAACAATGGAAAATGCCCTGAGAAAATAAAAACATCAAGTAAAAAAGAAAGGCAGGGGCACAACGGTCTGATGAGGCTAAAATTTAACGGCGTCAATGTGATTTAAAGGGGGCGAGTGTGCAACGATTTACAAACCACAAGTATGTTTTTTGGAGTTTTAAGACTACGGGGGGTTTTTAGCAGATTCGGTAAACCACAGGGAATTTTTTTCCGTAAAATAAAAAAAAACAAATTAAAAAATATATATATCAAAATTCTGAGATTGCATTACAAAATTTTTAAGAAAAATGGGGTCCACCTTGAGCTCTTTTATATATATATATAGAGGATATATAGGATAAGATATGATAGGATTCCTTCTCTTTTAAATTAATTGATACGAGTTTTTTATTTTAATTGATATATTTTATTTTTAGTAATTTATATTTACTTAAATATATTTAACAAATATAAATAATTTAATTAATTTTATAATATATAATATTATATAATATATTTAGAATTAACTAAAAAAATAATTTTTAATAAATAAATATTTTAATCTATGTATTTAAAACTTTTTATTATTTTTATAAAATTTAAACGTCATATTTACTTTTTGCGTCATTGTACTTTAATATTAAAAATATATTTATATTTGTATATTTTTTTTGTATTAATGTCTTTCTATTAATATTATAAGATACTAATGAAAGTATTTTGCAATTTTTTCTTAATTTGCATTACATTTTGATATAAAATTAATATCTAAATATCAACATGCAAAAAGTAAATAAGACCCTTGGGGACGGACGGAAATAGTATTAATTACACACAAATAAATATACAGTTTTCAATTTATTTTTATTATATAAAATTTTATTTTTAAAAAAAAATATATCCATGTCAATGTATTTTATTGAGATAATAGTTTTTAAAATATTTAAATATATATTATTTTTTTTTAACTATGTATGTTAATTTCTATTCTAAATATATCAATACTATTTATATAAAAAATAATAAAATAATTTCATAATTCGTTTTTATTGACTCGTAAATAATAAAATAATTTCATAATTCGTTTTTATTGACTCGTAAATAATAAAATAATTTCATAATTTTAAATTCGATTATCTTAAGTATTGTGTCAACAAATTGATTGAAAGTCCAAAAAAAATAATTTTTTATATAAAATATTATATTTACATTATTATCTAATTTTTTATTAAAAAAGTCTCAAAGAATACATCCGATCTTTCTAATTTTTAGTGTTTTTTTTGGTATGTCCCAAACACTTTGCAATATTTCTAAAATAGGAAATAATTAATTATACTTAATCTTTACTCCACACTTTATCCTCTCACATCATCCAAATAAAAAAATAAAATATTTATTTTTCTGTCCATCACATCACCTAATTTTTAAATTATCCTACCTAATACTACCCACCTAAATCTGTGCCAAAAGTAAATGTTGCACCTTATTTGAAACGAATGGAATGGAGTACTTTATAAACACCTGTACACACACAACTTTCTGTCTATATATTTTTTTATGTATCTAGGTATATATATAACTTTGTTTGCACGGCTGTTTATATAGACTTTGTTTATTTAGTCATCAAATTTAATGTTTCTACTATTTAGACTCTCGATTTCTTTGAAAAATAATATATATTTTTTTTAACAAAATATTTTATCATAAATTATTTTAATACTAAATTTAAACTAAAATTTTTCTAAACTTATCAAAAGAAACATTAAATATACCTACATAACAAATTTTTTATTTCACATAAAACGTCTAAGTATATTGTATATACGAAAATTTAAAAAAATTATAACTAATAAATAATTTTAAAATATTTCATTAAAATAATTAAATAATTTAATTAAAATTAAAAAAATTATAAATTATAAAATTTAAATTGTAATTAAAATATATAATTTTTTTAAAAAAAAATGAAACAAAAATATTAGACATTATATAGAGTGAACGAAGGGTATGTTTTTTTAGATAAATTTGAGAAAAAATTTATTTGTATTTGATATTAAAATAATATATAATTAAATATTTCGTAAGAATAAAAAATAATTTTTTTTCAAAAAATGGCCGAAACCGTAGATACGATCGAAGGTGTAATGATGATGTTGATATTAATGAAATTTGTTAGGTAAGAAGAGAAGATAGAGATGCTACGTCCCCTTTATTTAATTTGACAGTACACAAACAATGACATATGCATCAATCATGGTGTCGTGTGGTGTTCATGTCGGACACAAGATATACAATAATTAAACATATGAAAAAATAATAATAATAATAAATAATACTCTCTTCGTACCAGAGTTACTTTGTTTTTTCATTTTTTGTTCATTTTAAAAATAATTTTTTTTCCTATTTAATAATCATAATTTTTATTTTATAACAAAATTATTTCTATTTTTTTAAATTAACTCTAATTATTACTGTAACTTACTTTTTAAAATCATTAAAAAATATATATATTTTTTAATCTTTTACCTTCTACTTTATACTCATTTTTAATTAAATATTATTATTTCTTAATTCTCGTACTCACTCCCAACAAGACATTTTTTTTGGACGGATGGAGTAATAACAAAAGAATAACACTCTCTCCGTCCCAATAGAATTGTCTTGTTTTTCCATTTTCGTTCGTCCCAAAACAATTGTCTTGTTTCCTTATTTAATAATCGTTGTCCCTACTTTATAACAAAATTATTTCTATTTTTCCAAACTACCTCTACTGATTACTCTACCCTACTTTTTAATATCATTAAAAAAAAGTATTTTAATCTTTTACCTTCTATTTTATACCTATTTTCAATTAAATACTATTATTTCTTAATTTTCGTGTCCACTCCCAATAAGACATCTTTTTTGGGACGAAGGAAGTAGTAAAATAATACTAATATATTTTTATTCGAAAAATCATTTTAATTATATATTTTATGTTCAATTACATATGTTTTTTTTTAATTCATCTAATATAAAATAAGTTTTTTTTTCTACTTTTAGCAAATTTATCAATTTAAATATACTTAACAAATATAAATCAATTAATTACATTTCAAACTTTTTACACATAAATTCATTCAAAATTTTTTTATTTTTATATATATTTTCAATAAACAAATACTTTATCTATATTTAAAATATTTTATTTTTTATAAAAAAATTTATGTTAATTATAGATAAATAAATAAATGTACAAAAATAATATATATTATATATTTTGAGATATAATATTTAAAATATTTTATTACCTATTTTATATTTTTTTAATCATATTAATTTTTATTTTAAAAATAATAACAATATCATTTATATAAAAATAATAAAATAATATTATAATTCCTATAATTAACATGGTAAATTACACTACTTAAAATATCGTATTCCTAAGTAAATGAATTATCTTACCCGATATCAGAACGGAGAGTATTATATTATTAAATTTACATTATTATTTGACTGGCTTCCGGCGAGCCACGCGGGCCTCTCTAGTGCCGGAGAACTAAAACAACAAAAAAATTTCACTTATGGGACTAATTTGCGACAGACTCCACTAACGGGACTAAAATAATAAGAGGTCCAGTTATGAGACTAAAAAAACATTTTACCTTAAATTTTATTACTAAATTGATAAAAAAGAAAGGAATAATTTGGTAACTAAAAAACATAGTAATAAATTTATTATTACTTGCTAAATAAAAATAATAAAACTGTATATACATAAAATTGTTTAATGGATTGTGGTAAGTTCGGCGGAAGGCAAAAAAATAATAACATAATTTTGACGGAAAGAAAAAATATATATTTTTATTTATTTATATTATATTTTTTTTCGTCTCGAAATAAATGACTTATTTGTTTAAGATACAATTACTTAAAAATACAGTAGATTAGTAAGAGTGTGTTTCTTTAACAAAAAAATACACATATGTTTTTAAAAAAAAATATTAATATATCATATATTAATTATTTTTATATTTCATATACAATTTTTCATAACCCACATGCAGGGCAGAAACAAGTGAATGTATGAACGCTTCCCCCATTTTATTTTTCTTTTTACTTTTTTATTTTTTTAAAAAAAATATATATATATTTAATATAGAAAAATAGAAT